TTCAGAACTAGGGATTAAACTCAGACCTTACACTTACCAGGGAAGTACTCATTCTACCAGACATCTCCCATTCTGCTTTCCCAGAGGTTGCACTCTCCTTATTTTTAGTTTCTCCAATTCCGCAGGTAAATCTTTCATTTCTTGATTAGCCACTTCAGCCTGCCCTTTTCTCATTTGCTTACACTTTTTCTCTGAAGGTGTATCCTTTCCCGCTGCCCTTTTTTTTTTTTTTTTGGCTTTATTTCCACTTTTTTTAAAAAATAATTTTTTTGAAAAACAAATAGCACTGACAGTTTCAAAACCGATTAGTAGGACAGTTTCAATAATTAATGCAGTACATACAGGTTTAGCAGGCTGACAACCTCCGGATCATCTCTGGCTTCTCTTTTGCAGCCCCGGGGGTGGGGGTGGGGTGAGTGTAGGGGGTTGGGAAGCGTGCAGAAGCTGAGGGCCAAGGGCTGAAGCACAAGGAAGCCCTGCGGAGCTAAATGTTTTACTTTCATTTGCTTTCAAGTTTTCCTCTTCAGCAGTGTGATCAGCAAACTACAGAAACAAGCAGGAAATGACCTCACCCTTTCTCATGAAAGGAGACACTGAGTGGTCCATCTCTTCTTTCGTCAAGGTGGTATAATTTGCATTTGGATTTTGTTTCATTACATTAAAAGAGCTGTGATAAAGGATTTTGTTCACAGTTTCTTCTGAGAGGTCTTTCTCTAGAAACTTCAGTAACTTTTGAATTTCACCCTTAAGATCCTAAAACAAAGAGGCAGAAAGAATCATTTCAGGAATATTAGATCCCAAAAAGGGAATATATGCAAAATGTATATGGAGATTAATTTGGATGATTGTATTGTCAATTTCTGCTGGTCTTTTGAAAGAAGCAGTTACTGATTAACTTTCTCTTTTTACCCTGATTTCCTTTATTCCCCTACTGAATTTCTTATAACTTCTTAGTGTGTGTGTGTGTGTGTGTGTGTGTGTGTGTGTGTGTAATAAATCTCACACATTTATATCTGGTAATGTGAACAACTAATTTAAAGATAGCATCATATAATACTGCAACTATTGTTGAATTCCTATTTAGTAAATCTTGTATCATTTATAAAACTCTTTTACTTTATACCTCTTTTATATTCTTTTAAAAATGTTTTCACATATGTCATGATAGACAACGTGATGCTTTGGGAATTTCATAGCATTTTTCAATTCATTTTTCAAGTACAGTCTTTCGTTGGCTATGCCTGGGGCCATCTGCCAGGTAGAAAATTATTTTTTTTTCTCAGAAAGTGAAAGAAAATGATTAGGGAAGTAGTCAATGTTTTACATTCAAAAATGCAGTTAACTTGAGGCATAACATTATAAAACAGCAAACTACTGTTACACTTAGGCATAACTTTGAAATTCTCTGGATCTTAAACATCTCTAGAATTGTGAATAGATTAGTTATCTTAAACAAATTAAGACTGGAAAAGAATTATGCCTCTAATACCTATAGATACTATTTTCTTGTATTGACTGACTGAAACAATTTATTAAAATGATATACTTCAGAAATCACTAGTTTGTCCTGTTTGACTTTTTTTGTCTTATCAACATATAAAATATAAGAGTATATTATTTGGTGCTGAACTGACAATGTGCCTTCACCTTGGAAACAGGGCTTTTTGGAGAACTCCTGGTGGGGCAGAAGGAACTCTGAATTATAGTTTCTCTTCTGCGCTTACCAGCTTCAGTGTCACGGGCAAGTACACTCAAACCCACTAATATTGTGGACCACTGGACTATGTTGGAATATTTTGCTGAATTCATGCACCTGCAATATTTAAATGACAATGGAATACCCATCTCTGACAAAACTAAACAAAAAAAGGGGGATACAGATGAAGGACCATTTTGTATCTGCATATTCAAAGTAGTTAGGATAAATATACAGCTATTTTCTTTTAATTCAATGAATAGAAAGATTTGTACTAATAGTGTTTATGGACAAGATGTCATGTCTGCATCTTATACTGTGAATATCACTATGAAGACAACAATATGCAATGTATTAATTATTGAAACTGTCCTACTGGTCGGTTTTGATACTGTCTCATTGCTATTTGATTCTCAATAAAATTATTTATTTAAAATAAAAGAAATTCAGAGCCAGGAGTTATATTCATCCCAGCTTAAAGATGAGAAAAACCTACAGATATTTTTTGATAGCATGAATTTCTGGTGAGGAAAAGATGATCAAAATGCTTTCCATTTCCCAGATTAAGGAATAGTGACCAAAGGAGGAAGCAATGAAGAGAAGTCCATTAAATGTTTCCTGTGACTCCTTTCTCTGTATTCCAGAATGGGCATATGAAGATATATTAGATATGAATAAATGATAGCAGTAAGCCCAAAGAGTTTGTGTCCTGTGCTCATTAGGAAAGTATTCTTCTTAGCGGTGCAAACCAAAGTAAATACAACACCATAATCTTTGTGACCCTGTGATATCAGTCAGAAAGACAATCAGATTTAACTTTCCTGAATAAGCTATATCATTTCGTAGACACAGAACCAGAGCATCTCCATGTTGGCCCTAAAATAATCTATTTCTTGTTCCAACTGAACTGATAAAAATATATTGAAATTGGGCACTAGTTATACAGGTGATAACACAAGAGTTGATTCACAATTGTGCCAAGTCAGTCTGAAAGTTAAATGATAGAAAAATGGGGAGAGAGTGAAATGTTTAAACTCAGAATAAAAACATTTGAGCTGCACCTAATTATACCTTTATACCCTTAAGTAACTTTTAGGTTTCTCTATCAGCAGAGGTAGATTTTCCTCCCATATCTAAGTCCTTTACTTGAAGTCCATCTGACCTAATGTACTAAAATTTTTCTTTTAGGACACAGGAATGTGACTCTTCTTAAAGACCAGAGTCTAGCTTTTCTTTGTTTTTAATAGGCCCATAATTTGGTCATTACCTCTCCTTAATTCAGTGACTGCTGAAAAATGGTTTTGATAAAATATACAAGAAGCTTCAAATTTGGCCTAGGAATCCCAAAGGTTTCTTGTGGCTGTAGAACTGATTTATCAAATTTATAAATAGAGACTTAGACATTATATAGAGGAATTTTCAGAGATCTACAGCAGCAAAATGAGGTTGCTTGGGCTTCTGGACCCTGAGCAAATGGAGGCAAATAATCTACAGTTACAATTTTACCTGCCACAGTCTTTGTTTCCCTATGAGAAAAGCAAATGTGGACATACATAAACAAAGAGGGAAGACCATAGGAAGACACAAAGAAAAGGCCACACATGAGCTAAGGAAAACTTTCATAAGGAACAACCTAGATGACACTTTGTTCTTGGACTTACTGCCTGCAGAACAGTGAAAGAATAAGTATTGGGCATTGAAGATACTCATTCTGACTCTATTTTGGCAACACCAGTAACTTAATGTAATTTATAATAAATAAAACAAACTATGAGTGTAAGGTGATAGTTATTGATGCAGATCATAAAAGACATGGAGATTTGTAGGAGAGGGAGAGGAGAGTATTCAAGGGGAGAAGTTAAGAAAAGCCTGGCTCGCTGAACTCACATGGTAGTTACTTTAATCATGGGAAAGATCATCATTATGTTCATGTTGACTCATGGGAAAGGGAAAGGTGGCACAAGATGATGGAGAGTTAGACAGGGATTAAATAATGCCAATCTCACTAAACCATATGATAACTTAAATTTCATGTAGAGTTATCATCTACTGAGTCATCTAAAGAAGGGAGTGGAAGTACTTTGATTTCTTGTTCCTGAAAAGTCATTCTCCAACAGTGGATAATTCCAAGATGAAGGAGCACAAATCAAAAAGCAGATGCCTAGACTGAGATGAAGCAGTAAAAGAAAGAACAGAAGAGGTAAGTGATCTAACTTAAAAGCAGAATTGACAAGAGAGAAGACTTTTCATATTTATAGACCCAAAGAAAAGGAAAATAAGATCCAAAGAAAATGATTTTAAAGTACCTTTTAAATGAAGCTGCAGTTACCTCTTACCTCTTTCATGTCTTCATAAAATAGGTAAAGGATGTGATAATCATTTCTTTTCTCCCACCAACCTTTCACATGGTCATACCAGGAACCAAAACTTACTAAAAGTAAAGAGCAGATGTTTGTGAAATCACAACTATTTATAAGAAGGAAAAAGATCTTGAGCATTATTTGAACTCACAATTATCACTATATACATATTGGTTGCTTTTTAACTCAAGGAAAATGGGAATAAAGATAAAAGAAATAAATGATATTATTCTTTCTCTTGGAAGTTAAAATCTATTTAAAAACCAAAAAGCTTCTTTTTATATGCTGAAGC